TTTTTTTTTTTTTTGAGGCTCTCTCGGATGATCCTCCAAAAAATGAAGACGAAAAAAAAAAAACCTCGTCTCGCTCTTGTTCGCTTATCATCGTGACCGATGATGTGTGTGTTCAGAAATCACCTCTTTTTTATTTTCTTTTTTTTTTTCGTGTACGGATTCGTTGTTGTTGTTGATTTTGTTTTCTCTTTGTTACAATTTTTTTTTGAATAATGAATTTCTTTTTCATGTTTTATTGTGATCGGCGATCCTGATTAATTTTCCCCGTGGAGTGTTGCTCACGAATGGCAGAGCTAATTCAGTATAGTAAACTGCGTCTGGAAGTACAGTTGTAAATGTTGATCGAAACCTTTTTTGTAACCGAGAGTTTTGTTTAATCATCGAAGCTAAAGTCGAATGTTCTAAACTTGACTTTACAGTATATATATGGAGAGAGATAAATTTGGCAGCTTCCAAATAGTTCAATCTCGGAAAATGTCACGCCTTTTCTGGTTCTTCAGTCCTTCAAAAAGGGATTTTTATTTCGACATTCAAGTTCAATCGTTTTATTAATGTCGCTTTGAAATGCCGTCATTTCGCAAATCTCAAACTTGCTTTATTCAAGTCCAAATCGATGGTGTGATGATCTTGTTTTACTTTGTCGATGTCATTGCTAATTGTCGTTGGAATTGGAGATTTGGTGGCAAGTGTTGAGTGTTCACGTGTTATGGTCGATGAACTCCTGTTTTTTTGTTTTTAAAATTGTGTTTTGCGCCAAAAAAAATGTGGGCTACTTGACTGAGTTTGGTACTAACAACTTACTTACTTGCATTACGACACGAGCTGCTAGCATTTCTTTTATTTATTGAAAAAAAAAATCAAAAAAGTACGATGTCGCTCGCCTGTCATTCTGATTGCTAAATTATTTGCCCGCCTGTGATATTTTTGTTGGAGAAGGTCTTAGATAATGAAGACGTCGAGAGTTTTTTGTTTATGTTTTTGCACAATTCAACAGATTTTATGCCTGAATTTTGTTTGCAATTCAGGCGATTTTTCGTGTCCTCTTTATCCCTGCGGTTTCGGAGAGTTTATTGACCAAGTAGCCCTGTAATTTATTTTGACGATCGAGGCGGGACTTCTTGAGTCAGACGGTTCTTCATTGGATTAGATGATGATAAATTGTTAAGATGAGGTGTTATTTATTGTGCTGGCTATTCTTGTTTAGGTAATCAAGGTCTAAAAACGAGGAAAAACATCCAAGGGATTTGTGATGGGGGGTGGGGTTAATTGGAAATGTTTTTTTCGGATATTCATCTCTGTTTCGTCGGTGTTTGATGCGGACTAGAACAACCAATGAAAGTCGCTGTTGAAAAATCGAGTTTTTCTCTTATTTCAACATATTTTTTTTGCACGTGAATCTTCACTTAGAAATTTTACGCGATTGTTTCGTCTTGAGCAGTATTTCCTAACGCATTTCAGCTCATGAACAGCTCATGTCGATCATGTAAGCCAAATTACAGTCGAAGCAGATTTTGTGATTTGTCATCGTAAAATTAATGAATCTTTTGGATCTGGTTATTCGAATATTCTTTTTCCGTTGATACATACGCTCTTTTGCAAAATGAAGTTTGATTTCGAATTATTGCGACATTTCTTTTCCGTCGGTTCAAGCGAAGTACCCTGATCACTGTATAGGTGTCACTCGTGGTCACCATCTTTCATTGAACCTCTTCCCAAGATTTCAATTCCATTGGGATCTTCCTGTGAGTTGACCTTTTTATGCAAAATTTTTATACAATAGTAAAGAAATAGGTTCCATATTTATTTTCAAGAAATAATAATGCGGACGAATTAGGAAAATGGTTTTTCATTTCCGATGGACGTTCATAACATTCATTCTTTTTTTCGTTTATTTTTCACAGCATTAGCAAATAAGAAGGAATATATTTGGTATTCCAAAAAATATTGTTCGCGAGGAAATCTGAATTTTTGAACCATACCAGTTATAATCGTTGAAAATTGAATTTCAAAATAAAATGTCTTCGACAGACTCTTTCACAGACGTGCGAAAAATAATTGCATTCATCCAGCAGTTCAGATCAGGATTAGCGGAAACAAAATATATTCCTGGTTTTCATAAGCGATGAAGTATACACAAAATTCTTCATTTAGGACCATTTCAACTTAATTCAATTTTATCATTTTCATGATGGTTCACGCAGTGATCATGATTTGGTTTAATTTCCTCTTATTGCAAGATTTGGTTTCTCCAGAATACCGTCGTATAATTTCGCTGCTTTCCCAGTAGATGAGAACTTTCATGGACGTTTTTTAAAATCAGAAAATCACCTCCAGAGACTGAATCACATTCGAAAATTTTTGTTCGACTTCAAAGATTTTCAAAGAGGTCTCCTAGCATTTTTCCGCTTGTTTTTTTCTTATTCCATGCCAAATCCTTCGGCATTTGAAATTGCGATGATGAGCTTCTGTCGCATCACTTCAGCGTTGTTGTACCTGGGCAATACGAGCTGATTGAAACACGTGTGGGCTTGTGGCAACATATCCAAGTGATCCCTTTGCGCAGTGATTTTAAAAGTCATTTCCTGCATTCCTCCAACTGGGATCCGGTCGCTTCCCGTTGAGAAAAGCAAGAATTTTTTCTGCAAGTCCAACGACAGCGACAAAAGGATTTCCCAGAAGTCTCTGTGAAAGGAAGCATAACGGAGTGTAAAGGTAGGTTTATTGCGTTTTTTGGAAATGCTAGAATGTCACAAAGCGTGAAGCCCGACAGCAGTTGTAAAACTTACAGAAAGAAAAACTGAATGCCCAAAAAAAAAAGATAGCAGAATTACACCCTACCCAATACCCTGACAAAATAAGGAGAGTCGATTTTTTCAATTAAATTCAACTTTGATATGGGGCTTTTGATGCCTCGAAAATGACATCGATTTCGTTTATACTCACGGGTGTCAAATGTATATGTTTCCTTTATTCTTACTCAATTTTCTGGGCATTGACATGTATAAGTGATTTTATACCCGCAATTAGAATTCTTCGATTTAAAGCACAACGTTGGCTTAAATTCTTTTTAGCATTTAAACTCTTCTTTTCCTTTCTCTGTTGCGATGAAAGGGTTACAAACGACGGGCAGTGGAACAAAGCCTATTGTGAAGCTTATGCTGTAGTCAAACTATTTGCACAAAAATTTTTCATTTTTTCACAAAGCCAGGAAATATCGGAAATAATTGGAAAAATTCGCAATCACAAAGTTCATCTCTCATCCATTTTTGTCGATACTTATTTGCGTGTTCTGCACATTGTAAAATCTGCCCTAAAAACCGATGAACATTTCTTGTATCTGAGGAAACAATCATGAAAAAAATTCTCAGCGATATTATGCATTTTTGAAAATAAAAGCTAGGAGATAGATTTCGACTCAGGTTGACAAATTTTGCTTGAAGATCACTGCTAAAAGTTGAGAATTTGTTCCAAGTCGTTCAATTTTCATTACACCTGTCACCCGTGTTTTTATTTTATTTTCACGATAAAAATCTCATGAAAAAAATATTTGAAGCAGCTCACGAAACGAGTTCTGAAGCTCAAAAGGATGATTTATTGTTTTTAATATTGATAATATATTTTTAAGTATATTCTTTGAAAGACCATCGCATTTGTAGTCGATCAGAACATGTGTGAAATTATCGTTTATTGGATTCAGCCTTTTTCCAAAATAGTGACTATGAAATTGCATCCACAAAGTCTTCCAAGCATTTTGGTAAATTTCACGTACTTCATGTTTTGATCCTCGGCAGTGTAACCGTCGTATTCAACGACCTTTTTCAAATCAGCCAAATCCAAAGTAGGACTTCCGCAGACCATAATTTCCACTTCTTCCGGTCGCATCATCTAAAAAAAATAAAATAAAGTTACTCAAGTGGGTTCACAAAAAATAATAAATTTCGAATTTAAAGAACTCACGATAAGCGCATTCGAAGCACAAACGCTATGAAATCCCAGGTAAAATGCTCTGAATTGCTCATAAATCGCGGTGTTGAGTATGAAATCAATGTACAATTTGACAAACTCTTCCCTGTTGGCATTGGTGACCATCACATCCGCTCCATTTTCCACCAGGTTGTAAGTTTTGGCTGATCCGAACTCGTCCACGGAAATCTTTAAAAATATTAGGAAATTTCGAAAAGAAATGTGAAACCACGAATCGAACTCTCATGAATCCAAAATCGACTCTCACCTGAAACGTCGTGCACATGTCTTCTTCAACGTCTCCTTCGTAGGCGAGCAATTCTTTCAGGCCCTGGGCAACTTCCTGTAATTCAAATAGATTCGAGTACTGTATATGAAAATAAAATTGAATTGAAAAATCAGTACTGCGGGATACAATACAGCATGAATGAGAAAGTCTGCTTACATCAATTCAACTATAATTTCACACACGTTCTTTTCGACTAAAAAACGCGATGGTCTTTCAGACAATATATCTTCGCGCTTATAAATAATGATAATTATATTGAAAATATATGTACAGATGGACTCTCTCTACAACGTTCTTGTCTACAACAACATACTGCATATAACGGATTTTTTTGTGGTCCCTCTGCAACGAAATTCTTTCTACAATGAAATTTTCTTTTCTGGACCGACTCCACCAACAGTATTATCCTCTCGAGCTTCAGAAATCGTTTCGAGTGCTTCAAATATTTATCCACGAAACTGCTATCGTGAAAAGACACGAAAAAAATTGAACGATTTGGAACAATTCTGAAGTTTTAGCAGTGGTCTTCCAAATAAGATTTGTCAACACGACATCTGTGACACATGCTTCATGAATTGACTGATCGCAATTGACGTTAAAGAGCTTTGATGCGGCTGCAAAAAAATAACTCGATTTTTCCATGTGAAAATAAAAGGGATAATTAACGTCAAACCAGCAAACGGAAACTTCATATATCAACATGAAGAACCTGAAAGTTTATAAAATTTTTAAACTATAAGCTCTGCTGATAATCAGTCCTATTAAAGTAGAGATGACCACAAACTCGAGCGTGAGAAAAAAAATGTCGAATAGAAATTTTTCAAGCGAAATGAAAAAAAAATGGACAATACATTTTCCAAGCGGTTCTATAGCTCTTTCACAAGCTTTCATTTTACTTTGACAATGTCTAGTGGAAACATTATGGAAGAAAAGAGTTCAATTATTTAATGGGAGTCAGAAAAATACATTGAGCAGCACGTTGATATCACTTTTCCACGCAGAAAGCCCAAGAAAGGTCACCAATGATCAACGATCTATTTCCCACTCGGACTTGCAAACCCTCAAATAGCCTCTTCCTTTGTCTTTAGAAACGTATACATTATTCTAATAGAAAATTCGCTTTGTCGAGAGTCAAAATGGCGGAGGATCTCAGGGAAGAAATGGAAGAGGAGGACGCGGAACCTGCGGATGACTTCGTGAGTGAATAACCTTTATGAAAAAAAAAAACATTACAAATATATTTTGTGCTCCGTTTATAACGTGACTGATTAAATTGTCCTTTTGCCTCACAGCCCTATGTTCCGTTCCATTTCGAAACCTTCCCCGAAGAAAGGTCGAACATCAATGCTCAGAAGGAAGTGCTCGAGAGCGCATGCAAAAACTTGGCTCAGGTTCGTTGCAGATCATTTGTCTCGTGAATTGCTTGAATCATTCTTCAAGAGTTCATATCCCAATTTTAAAGAAGTGTTGAATGTACAGTACTGTACAGTGCAGGATTTGCAAATTTTCAGAGAATTGTACTGTGCTCATTCGGCTTCCATTCAACAAATGAAGATTCATCTTATTCATGCTACATAGTTACAGGCCGCACGTAAATATATGGGCGTCGGCCAGATTTTCGGCTGATATTTCAGAGGAAAAACTATAGGCCGCTCAAATTCATATTAAAGTACAAATTTAATCGTTTATAAAGAGAACAGTCAGATTTTAAAATGTATGACATTTATCGTCACATTTCTCGTATAGCCAGAGTCGGAACCAAGGTGGGCAATATAAACAAGGGGGAACGTTTTTCTAGATTGATATGATGAATATTTTATGGCATAGTTTGCACCAAATCCAGGACTGGGTTCCAAAGAAATCCTCGACGTGGGTCATTCGGGATAAATTTATCGAAAAAACTGACACATTCATCCATTATTTGTTCAATTGAATTGTGCCTGACGAAATCAAAACCAACCCCGGAAGATTCAAGGTAATATTCAAAGAGGATTTTTTTTAGTGGTATTTGCTAGACACAAAAAGGAGAAAATACTGCAAAAAGCTGTCAAATGAAAACACCAGATAAATTCGATTTTAATCAACTTTCGAATATGGCCAGCAGGGAAATAAATTAAACATTTTAAGCACCGCGAAGAATACCCCTACGATATGAATTATTTGAAAATGGATGAAATTCGTTCTAAAAGTGTAAGAAGCTTTTGAATCCAAGCACATGAAGAAATTCTGCTGAAATTGAAGGTGGAAAAATTAGAACTTCAAAAATTTGAGATGATGAAAAAACACTTCATAATACAGCTGCTGTGAGAGAAATTATCCATCGCCTATTATTCAGCCGACAGATAAAACTTGAATTGCTTTCATTCCAGCTTATTCATCATCCATCAGCTCAACACACTTGAAAATAAAATCCACCTCTTTTTGCTCTAAAACCTTGCGTTTAATGCTGGCAAATTTTGTTTCCTTATAAAAGAAATATGATATCTCATCAAAGATTCTCTCTAAATTGTTCATTCAACTGAACAGCTCATACAGAAACAAGCTGAAGACCTTGTGCTTTGAATTAATTTTTACTGATATTTTGTTTTCAATGTCAGGGAAGGAATGGGTGTATGCATACATGTCAGATGTACAGTTGTATTGTGTGGATTGTATTTTCTTTTATGTTTGTTATCCATTTGTGCTCTGTTTCCTGCTCTGAAGTGATTAAATGTCTTTTGAGTGGATTTGGGTTGGGTGGGGAGCGGGTTTGGATGTGGAAATCTTGATTGAACCTTGTGAATGCTGAAAAACGGCAAATAAAGTGTTCTGTTCATTCATTCAATCAATCATAAAAGAAAAATAACCATAAACCTGCAAAGAATTAGTGTACTGTACAATGGACTGTGGAATATTTTCGGAGGCTTCACATCTGATCCTTGGCACCCCCCTATTGCTGGAAGTATAGGCCTACTTGGACTTGACAACTGAGGTTGGGATGAATGACGAGTTCGACGCTGCTCGGGGCTGGAATGAGAAACTGCGACGGTATGTGAAGGGCAACGACGACTTCAGCGACCCGAACGCCGGCACTTGCAAAAAGGGAGACCCGGCCAACAACAGCCCGTTCGTGGACCAGGCCATGATGAAGGGGATCGAAAACTTTCAAGTCGTGCAACGAAAGGCTCGTTTCTTGCTTCCTCATTTGTGATGTGATGTGTGTGACATGTTGCTAAAGTAATAATAGGCTTCCGAAGATCCAGCCTGACATTATTATTTCCAAGCAGGTCAAATTCATTATAATAATGTTTCTAAAATCAATGCACCCACTGAGCAAGAAGTTCTCCAAAAAATTTCCGGAACTCAATCAACTCAGCATTGGGACTTGTCTTTTGGATGACTTTTGGATACAAATTGGACAAGTTATCCATTTTTTTTGTCCTGAAGTTATCCAAGCCAACTTTTCCGATTTTGGCAAGATTCTTTGATAAGTTGGTTTGGACAACTTCAGGACAAAAAACGGGACATTTATGTGCTCACTGGGTAACATAATATAATTGTACAAAAACCTTGCGCTAATGAGAAAATTCTGTAGAATGAACATCTTCAGTGAAGTCCATTGTTCTTTTTCTGAAATTTTGGAAAGACAATAGCAATGGAAATTATCTGATGAAAAAATAACAGATGGGTTTCCTCCTAATAATAACTTCATTAAAAAATTTTTTGTTATTTGAGAAACCTTTTTTCAAGCCCACCTGTCTGATTTTTTTGAAGACTTTCCATTATATAGACTGGTTTTTATACATTCATAATTTTGGCAAAAAAATATAACTCTTTGAATGCCTGCCAGAAAGTCTTCCAAGTTTCAAGCAAAACTTTTGAGTCTGCAAAAATGTTATGAAACTTCACTGGTCTGCAGAGAATGTTTGGGAAATATGCCGGTCCATGAGAACTTATGAAAATTTGCTGGTCCTTGGGTCCACAAAGGTTGGGGAACACTGATGCAGAGTTTAGATTACAGTATATGGCACTAATTTTGTAGTTTAATCATGCATAAGGGATGCAAAAAATAATTTTTGCTTGAACATTTATTTGCTGAACTGTAATGCAGTGCCTCACCAGCAAATAATTAGGTGTAACAAAATGCGTGGCAAATGCATTTCATGCCAAATTTGCCACACGTTTCTGCCCAACCAAGTTACAGCAACTCAGGACTTTCCTTAGTGCGTTACAGGTATAGGCATTTTGTTATGCCCACCTGCTACAATAAAAAAGTACATCCAAAAGTTTTAAAGTACAAGTGTAACAATATAATACCTAACAAATGCATTTCCAATGCATTGCAGGAGAATGTTTAATTAAATCACTCATGAAAAACAATATAAATTAGGTAGGCATAGCAGAAATAACTGGGTTTAACAGTTACACATGACAAATGCATGACAAAATGCATAGCTGTTACACCCAGCCCTGCCTGTAACAAATTATTTGCTGGGTGCGGCGTAAATCCATAGCTAAAAAAAAGCTGCTGTCTGCAGTTTAATGAATCAGACTTTCCTTATATTATGCAGTACGGACACCAGGCTGACGAAAACTTTTTCCTGGCCAAGGCCAACTGCGAGGCAGACATGCGGATTAGCGGTGATTTGCCAAAAGTTAGAGCGTTGGAGAGAATATCGAGACTGGTGAGCAAAATATATGAACGTTTTCCCCTGATTCAAAATCAGTATTCAATTACGCATCATTTTCACTCGTAATTTCCCCCCATCATCAGGGACAAGAGCTGCATTTTCTGTGGGGAGGTTCTGGCCACGGAATGATCGCTGGCATGGGGCAAAAGATTTTGGATTTGGCTGAAAGAGACCCCGACAAGGCTACTGCATACGGATTCCATCTGGATTCTGAGTAAGAAAGATTGATTCGAAGAGTATTTTCATTGCTGTCTACATACTTCGCCATTCGGCACTTAATGGCTTTTATTTTTCATGTACGACGCTTATTGTGGCGCAGATTCGTGATTAAAAAAGGAAAGCCCATAATAATCTTGCGCCAGCATACCATAATCGGCCACTAGATGTCGTAGACATCTGAAGAACGAGAGAACCAATGGAACTTCGCAAGTTCTTTCTTTCGATTAGCATCTGCGTAACTGAACCTCATTTGCATTCGTTTATATCTTCGAAATATTAAGTATTATATTTTTGCAGATGCCGCTCAAGAATTGGATCCTGAAATCAGGGCTTTAATTACTGTAGTTCTGTCACATGTGAAAAATAAATGCGAAATTTTAGAAAGAAGAATTAAAATAATACAGTGAAGAGTTGTAGAATTGATCGTGAGGGAATGAATGAATGGCTGAAAGTGAGCGTTCTTAAATTGATAAAATCGTTAATGAATAAATTAAAAAATCGTATTCGAGGGTTTTTTGCATAAAAAATGCTGTCGTGATAAATTTTCGAAACCAAACGTAATCAAATTCACAAGATGCCGCACCAATAATAGCGTCATCAGCGACTTCTTTTCTTAGCACAGCAAATCTAAATGTATCTAAATTCTATATATGATGAAAACTAGCGATTATTTTCTTTATTTGATAATTCCAGCCGAGCTGCACATAACAAGGAAGTGTTGCACATGATCAACGAAACCGTCTCGTCCATTCATCACATTGCAGTTCAAATCCAAAGCTTTGTGGGTGGTACTTTGGAACCGACTGAAAGGAAACACGTTCCTCTTCATAATCACGATTAAAATTCTTTTACATGTATTACTCCATTTTTTTTCTCATTCCTTCTTTTTTTGGGTCGCATTCGTGGGTGTGACTGCGGGTGTGCTGTGTAATATAATGACTGTTTCACGTAAATTTGATTTATCCGCCAAAATAATTTATAATACAGCACTTGTTTCAAAAATGTTCAAAGATATGAAATAAATTGACGTCTTCGAATTCGGAATCCGCGTGAAATTTACAACCAGAATCAAAAATTCAAGATCACATTCCAAATCTTGATAAGTCTGCGTGTATCTTTATATATTGTTTTCATTTCACATTGCAGGCAACCCTCGCACTACAGACTTAATACAGTCAAACCCCAATAAGACGCCACCATTTGTCCAGAGCAATTTTGGCGGCTTAAAGAGGTTGCTGGTTTATCAAATATTTAATCTTATTTGATCAAAAATACTAGATTTTCCTCCAAAAGTCGTAGAGATACAGGTTATGTAAGAAACTTTGGTTATTTTCCAAAGAGTATTGCTGTGATCAATGGATTACTCTTTCAGAAAATAAATTTTGCTGCATGAATTTATTCAAATTTTGAGATTAGGTCAATATAATTTTCAACAAAATGATCATTATTGTCATTTTTTGTACAAATACAAGATCCTTTGCAGAAATTATAATTATACCCCAATGTTGGTGTTGTAATGAAGACAAAACTAATTGGAAACAGCACTTTGGTTTCATCACTAATGCTGGCAGATGACGGTTGGCGTCTTATCAAGGTTTTCTATAAAATTTAACATGGAGAAGATAAGTTTCATTCAAAATTTTGGCGGTTGGCAAGGGTGGCACTTTATCAGGGGGCGTCTTAACGGGGTTTGACTGTATGTGCAACAGGCTAGTCTGTCATGTAAACAGCATGTTGTGCAAACTGAATTATTAAAAAATCACCATTTTGACTTTTTAACCAATAATTTTGAACCAGCAGAAGTCTGCTGTGCAGATTTTGTCTGCAGTTAGAGGACTAGACAGGAGGAAAAACTGCCTGCCAAGGTGGTCTGCTATTGGCAAAAATCCCTGAGGTGGTGGTTGTTTGACTGTATATTCAGAATGAACTTAACTTCCTCAGCCCAAAAAAGCCTTCCAACTTGACTGAAAAATAGTGTTTTAATGGGCATGTGATCATTAACTGACAGCAGCTGTACAGTGCATATGTGAATACATAGAAAATTATCTCTGCCGGGGTTCAATATGAGAAACCCAGAACCGAGACCCGATGACACTAAAGACTCACAGGCATGATCTCAGCCAGGTCCTCAGTGGTTGGATTCTTCGTGAGTCCCACTGGAACGTAGTCATAGTTGGGTACCACGGGTGGAGACAAGAGCTTTCTGTAGCACACGTGTGGGAAATGTAGGTCCAGAATGATGGAGTTGTAAACGGCTAGTCCCATCAGAACCCCTATGAGGTTGTATTCCCGCAGATTTCCTTTCTGACTCACGCTGAACCAGTGACATCTGGCTTTCGGCTGATACACGAACATCCCGTAATCTGGCTATTTGTTCCGAAGAAAGAAAAAAAAAAATAAATAAAGCCGAATAATTTCCTCTTTCACCCTCATACAAAAAAAAAATTTATTCAGGGAATCTTTACTGAATTTTGAGAATTTTAAACAAGATCCGGAGTCAAATGTGATGCTCTTCGATCTAACGAAGGTAATGTTAATTTCGTGCAAGGCGAAGACGAATTTAATTAATTGATGATATGCAGTACACTTTTTGTTGTCGATTATTTGATAGCAAATTCTTTGCAATCAATTTATTGGTCCTCTAAAGTTGTCTCATTTTTCTATTCTGCAAGTCTTTGATCACATCCTTGGCTTATTCAATCGCAGTGATTACGCTAATAATAAAAACTTGATTCAAGTATAAAATTACACAGAAAATTGTTTTCTTCATATGACGCAAAAAATATCAGATCTGAAGGCCTGCCATACGAAACATTTTCAATGACTGAAAAAATATCTTGAAAGGTATGATGATGCATGCTGAAGTTGTAAGTATTCAAGCGTACGCGGCTCATATATCACCATTTTTCAACGTTTTGCGGATTAAAAGAAGGCCGAAGCAACGATTTATGTAAT